CGGCAAGGTAACTGCATTCGTTTGGATTCGTGATAGAGCATCGGCAACACAGTTTGACTTGCCTTTGATATGACGAAGATCTGTCGTGAATTGGGAGATATAGTCCAAATGTCTGCCTCACGTGGTGAGTAGCGGTCAGACTTGGTATGCAAAGCATACGTTAAGGGCTTGTGGTCGGCGAATACGATGAATTGACGTCCTTCTACTGCGTGCCGAAGATGTTTGATGGCGCAGTAGGCTGCTAGCAGCTCGCGACCGAAAGCGCTGTATCTCGTCTCCGTGGTAGTAAGGCGTCGTGAGAAAAACTCGAGAGGTTGCCAACTACCGGAGATGTTTTGTTGCATGATTGCTCCTATAGCAACATCGGATGCATCAACCGCTATACTAAGCGTGGCTGATGGATCGGGATGGGCGAGAAGATTGGCTTGCGCAAGAGCCGTTTTGATTTCAGTGAATGCAGTACGTGCAGAATCGTTTATTTCCAATCTGCGTGGGTTGCCGCGCAGTAAGTCGGTTAGTGGTCGTAACTGTTCCGCCGCGTGTGGGATGAAACGACGGTAGAAGTTAACCAAACCGAGAAAAGCCTTCAGTTCCTTGAGTGAGGACGGCTCGTTGTACTCCTTTATTGCTTGCACTTTGTCCTCACAAGATAGAATACCGTGTTGCTTGATAACATAACCCAGAAATATTATTTCTCGTTTACCCAACTCGCATTTGTTTGGGTTTACTACTATTCCATTATCCGAAAGGCGTTGGAATAATAGCGTAAGATGTTGATAATGTTCATCTACGTTTGATGATGCGATTAGCAGGTCATCAATATAGACGTGAACAAAATCGAGGTCTCGTACAATGCTATCGATAAACCTTTGAAAAGTTTGAGCAGCATTCCGTAATCCAAATGGCATTCGTAGGAACTCAAACAAACCGAAAGGAGTCGTGATAGCAGTTTTTTCGATATCTTCAAGAGCGACTGGGATCTGATGATATGCTCGTACCAGATCGATCTTAGAAAAGACGGTCTTGCCCTTGAGCGATGCCATGATGTCGTGTATGTGGGGGATGGGGTAGCTATCAAAGCGCGTAACTACGTTTAGAGCTCGGTAGTCGCCGTATGGTCTCCAACTAACCCCATCATTTCTGCGAATCATGTGAAGAGGAGAGGCCTCTGGGAATGTGAGAAGGACGAATAATACCAGTAGCTAGCAAATTGTCAAACTCACGTTCAGCAAAGGCTAATTTGTCCGGTGCCAGTCGGCAAGGTCGTGCCGTGACTGGCGGTCCGCGGGTGACTATGTGGTGTACCACACGATTGGTCACCGATGGAATCTCCTCGAGTGGTTTAGTGAGTACGGGGAATCTCTCGAATAAAGCGTGGAATTTATCGTCACGCGAGTAAAAAGTGCCGAGGATTCAATACGCGTTCATGTGGGCTTTACAGCCCATGAATTTGCTGTTGGACGAAGTATCGATTAGCTGCAGCCTATGTGAATCGACAAGCAATTCATAGTGCTGTAGAAAATCAATACTTAGTATGGCTGTGGGAACGTCAGCAATGATGAACGTCCACAGATACCGTCGTCGGTCGCCCAGGCTGACCGCGAGTTGTCGTGTACCGTAGGTAGGAATGACTGAGCCATTCGCAGCGCGTAGTCGAAGCACTGTGGCTTGTGACCTGCTGCTACCTCGTGGTACGACAGAAACTTGGGCCCCAGTGTCTACCAGGAACCTAGCGTTTGTGCCATAATCGTGCACATAGAATAAGCGACCAACCTGGGGAGAAGGACCGGCGAGTACGGCGGCTTTTACTCGCCGGCGCTGGCGTTTCCCGCCTTGTATGAGCATAGTGCTCGACAATCTTCAATACGAACATAAAGACAGTTTCACTGTGGAAAACTACTACAACCATCATAAAAAAGTACAAGTATTTATAAACAGTTGTCTACGTAAGATACTTAGTGTATGTTGACCAGGTACCATCAGCAACAGTCTTCCGTGGGAAAGACAAATCAGCTTCCGGCTGATTGTCTCTAGGGTCAAAATATTTTGATGTAATTGCAAAAATCAATAAATGTACATGTCACTGCCGATAATAACCCCAAAAGTGAACATTTTTAGTGACAAACTTAACTTCCATCAAAAAGTAATCTCTATGGATTGACGGAGGTCAATCAATTTACTTTTCTTCTTATTGAAGACTGTCTTCAACAACCCGGAGTTTTTGAAGTGTGTGTTACCCTTTCTTGTTGACCTATAAGTCAGGGTTTTGTAACGTTATCAGATTCTCAATCTAAAAACTTCCAGTTGTTCCTGTAATATTGCCTTATTTCCTCTCCTGTACTATTGTGGTGTTTGAACGGTTACTTTCATCACTGAATTTAAGTGTAACCCAGTTATTTATTGAGTCGATCAAGTAAATTGGCTAAATTCTTTTTTTCCTTATTTCAGAATTCTTCATACACACTAGTCTGTACATGCCTCCATCACAAAATCTTCGTTAGAGTTATAAATCCATTAGTCTTAACTTGATACTTCGTGTTGGAGTCGGGACCTGGCGTATCCAAGGTCAAGCGGACGTTCCTTATGCCTCAGCATTACCACCCTTGGCAGCTTACTAGCCAGCGATCGAACTTCCTGGCTCAGTTGTAAAAAAAGAATGTTTACCGGCTGAGGTTTCGTGTGACGTAATATATGTATCGCCCCGCATATTCAGTCCATGTAGGGCTTGCTCGTCCTTGTATGCATCCTCCCTTCCATCAAAAGTACGATCATCCGTTCTCGTAATTTGTTAACTTCTGCATAATACCTCGTTACTGGTGCCCTTCAGACTTGTACTTACTCCCTTCTCTCAGTAGGGGTGTTGTTTGCGGAATTGAGAGGACGGAGAGACTATAATTCATAGACGACCTTTGAGCGAAGCTAGACTGACCTCGAGAGTGTCCGCCTAATAACTACGACCAAATGAGGGTTATAAACCAGTGTGGGGAATTAGAGTTATGATTTACAGTTGATGGTTAAGGTTAGGAAATAGATTTAGGGTTTATGTGTCTAAATAAATAAATAAATAGAATCCAGACTCGCAGAAGTTGCTTTGCCTGTGCGACGGAGCGCTTTACAAGCACCGCATTTCGATCTGAGTGTAGTAAAAGAGACTCAATTTTGCGAACTACCAAGGTCACCTACTGTTTTTTTACCTTCTGACTGACGGACGAATCGGACTACGAAGACTGTTCCAAGCGCTCGTAAACAGATTATCGACTGATTTCTAGGATAATGCGATGCCGTACTATCGTTTAGTTATTGGACTCCGGTACATGCTTCAATGGGGTTCTCACCAGCTACCTTACTATCCGATGACGAATTACGTTGTCCTTTGAAGTTACAAACGCCCCTGATACCGTATGACACTCAAGAATACATGTATCTCCTTGACCCTCATAACCCTCTCGCTGCTGTGCACCAATCAGTTTTTTTTCCGCTCACCTACAACCGTCGTTCTGCGAAACATTTGGTAGCTCCAACGTGATGTAGTGGCGGTTCTCTGCAATCATCTAAAGCCCGATCGATGAATACTTCATTTGTGCATGTTGTCATGCCTTCACCAGCCATCAGTCACTATGACTTTCCATTTTTAATTTGTTTCCTGCACATCACAATGACGGACAGTTTGGACGGATTTGTGATATTAAAACTATTACGTTCAACGATATTAGTGCAATTATACTCTTTCTATTACGCACATGGCATTTTCACGTTCTTAATCATACATCCACCTTATTTTGTATGATATTACTAATAATAATTATTAACATTACGATTACTATCTTTCTCACATTAACTAGGACACATTAATTTGTATTTTGTGTCAAGTTTTGGCCCGGACAGTTTCAGTCTATCGATTAGAACTCATCACCTTGGGGCAGATAGTTTTTCTTGACCCTTTTTGTATGGGCTTCACGGTTCTACTGACTTTTTTCGCATCTGGGACTCAATCGGCATAAAATCTATTATTTTCCATCTACAGTACTGACTAATTCAGCCAGAATGTTTATATACATATTTTGTGTCTAATTTAGTACAATTGTCATAGACTTGTAATTTTAGGGTTTGAAGTTATCGAAAACACTTGTCCACTCGAACATCTGTTTACAAGCTGAAATTAATAAAACAATTGAATTTGGTAAGCATACAGAATAAAACACTCTCGACTTGAAATTCATGCTTTTCATGATATAAATATTACTTACATGCTTTCCTCATCTATAAAGGAACACTACTAGTCGATATCCTCTTGTTGTAAATTGTTTTGTGCCGTTTACTTACATTCTGCTGTATTTCATGGTTCAGGAAGAATCCAAAAGCCTGATGAGCAGCTATTTAAGGTTTTAAAATCTTGTAATATTAGCAAAGTTTCCTCGGAGATATTTTTAACTAAACCCACCCCATCATTCACCAATTATTTTGTCTAGAGCACGTATGACTAGTGAAATACCATCATATTCATCAAGCTACTCATCTGTGCTAAACATCCTGACAGTTGGCGTTATGCATAATTAAATGTGTAACTTGAAATGCTTCTCTACTGAGTTTTTGCCCAAAGTATTTATTCATATTCTTGTATACTGACTAACTACTATGGTGAAATAAAACATGGTTAATACCATATAGTGGCTTATTAACAAATAAGGTCTCATTACAGTATGAGTCATAGTATATATGACTTAGTCGTAGGGCCTGTAATTTTGCTGAGAGGTTAGCTTTTGTTTTTCAAAATTTACCTGATCGTAGGAACTCCATCTATTAACCTGTCCCTATCAGTAATAAGGCTATGTTCAATGCGGTTTACTGATTTCCTCAAGTTTTTCAGGATCAAGAATGTAATATTTGTTTCCTCCTAACCATGTGCAAATCCTTTCTTCAAAATGAAATAAATTATCACTGTTTATTGTTTCCTCCATTTTTAGGCTCATTCTAGTCATCACTATATTGACTAAACTACAATGAATCTTCCATGTGTATATGTAAACCCATCGAAATTGTTCTCATGTTTTCGTCTCCGTTTCGTACGACATCTGGTTTGTTCTTTACTTGTTATTCATCTCATTTTTCAAGTCTTATATTAAATCGGCGACAATCGATAACGAGGTACATATTTTAACGTTGAATAATCCTACGAGTGCTAATTCACTTTCTTTGCCGTTGATGAAAGAACTTCTCATGGTTTTGGATTCGATCAAGTTGTCGCAGAATATTAAAGCTTTAGTGATCACTGGTGAAGGAGGATTTTTTTCTTCTGGACATAATCTTCACGAGGTTATCAAATTTTCTGATACAAACTCTAAAAAAGTCTTTTCAACAGCATCAGAAGTAAATTGATTTATATTCTATTAATCTTACTGTTTCGCTCGATCAAGTTTGAGTAACTGAATCACTTACTATAGACAACCTGGGCCATATAGGATAAGTATCTGTAACCGTATTTGACCGATTACTTACATTCAGTGAGAACATTACATTAGTAATACTGTTGTAGTCTAGTTGTTAGGGCGTTTGATTTTCAATCACCAGGTTGTGGACTCGAGTCCTGTGTCACCTATTTCTGTATAGTCTACTGGGTATTATCACTATCCCTTACGGATAAAGCACGGCTCAAAGCCAAATACAGAAAGCTACACTTACTGAACTACGTCAATACTGAGGTCCGGATATTCGTGTTCTAACATGATAATTCGACTGGTGTTAAGACCTCGGAACACAGGATTTTGATGGCTTGATCGCTTTTCATGCATTTCACGCCAAAGACTTCCAAATCATGTATCGTTTGACGTCACTAATGCAGAATGGCAAAGCAACGCAGTGGTCAGTTTGAAATGTGCAATAAAGTATAGTTGTGCTTGGTTAGGGGTCATTGACTCATCATGGCCTTCTGTACGGGACTGAAGATGGTGTGCAACTCATTGGATCGAGGTGTTATTAGATATGACTCAGTCAAATTATTTAATATACACTATTCATATTTTTTTCGTTGGTTGTTTAACCCCTACTGTTCTCTTATAATATTGTCATCTTAACTCGTGTAGCGCATTTTCAACACAATATTGTGACAATATTAACAATATCCTAACAAATGGTTTTAGTAAGTTTATATATCACCGCAAAAAAGCTTACAATGTTCGTATATGGTTCAGAGTGATGACTACTAAGCTTACTGATTATCTAAACTTATTAAATATCCTTACTTCTTTATAATACTGTTTAATGAAATGTGGATGATTAAACCCATATACATCCTATTTGATTTGATCAACCGGGTAGTATCAGTAGATATAAAAAATATGTGGCATAAAGCTGACTTCATTAACTTACACTTGCTATATTACATTCATTTAAGTCGACACAGAACCTTTTGCAATAATGTTTGGTTTCATTCCTTCACACTCCTGAGCTAGATAATTAAAGAAAATGAAGTGGTGACTCAGAAGAAAAGCGGAAGTACGAAGTAGTTAGGTGAGGTTATAACAATGAAATGGTTGGCTACTTGTATGTAATAAGAAACATATTTTTGTCACACAAGAACTAACTTTCAACCATATTGTGAAACTATCTCATTTCTAACATATCTCAAGGCAGTAGTTAACGACTTCATGAATTAATGTCACGTCTAAAATTCACCTTTCTAATGTTTTCTCTTTTTCGTGGTCACCTTGGACAACAATGGGTTTTCTTATATGTATGGTGTATGAAGTAATTTACTCATTTTGGTTGATGGTTTGAAACTATATAAATCAGTACACGTCTGTTGTCTTGTGCTTTACGTCTGTGGCCTAACTTAATGTCAGTATTGTGTCGAAAAACCGCTGAGTACCAAATCCACTGAACTTTTTAACGCCATCTAGTAAAGTAGAGTAATTTATTGTGGTATGTACCATTATTTTGCTCAGATTTTGTTATCATATCATGAGTGTGGATCATGCAAAGTGATAAATACTAGTTAGATCTTTCATATACCACCAGTTCACATGAATCTATCCTTATAACTAAAGTATTAATATGATAAACACAGTTATTCAAATCCCTATAGTCAAAACCAGTTCTAAGAAATCATCTTTAATTAGTAATATTGTTGAGGATGTTAAATCCGTAAGTGCTACTACACGTAGGGAAAGATCAATTCACATTGGTTTTCGGTGAACTTCACTCATTGATTTTCAATATATTTTTATGTGTCCATTTACTCAGTATGCAGTTAATTTGTTCTCCATGCATTTCCGTTATATTAATGCGCTGTAGTTTTACATTAAAGTGACAATTAATAATTTTGATAAATTTTGTATTCAATAATCGATATACAATTCAACTAACTCGAATGTAATTAAATTATTCTGTGGTCTTGAGCAGTACATCTTTTTCACAAGACTTCTATTATATTTCATCCATCGTACGGTGCGTTAGTGACTGAAGTGTTATGTATTGGTTATCCGATTTGTCTAGTTCTCATAGACTCCGTTTTGTTTTGAAAAAAGTCTCCCAGTCCCCCGAAACCAGAAAATTCCATACCTTAGTCTTAATCTACAGCAAGGTCATAAGTGTATACCTTGAATAATTCAATGTTGCTTCAGCAAATCTAGGGAACTTTTTATCAGTGTCTTTGTTTAATAGAAATGTTTCATCGCTACATAATCAAAGATATTTCGAGAAAAAAGTGTGAGGTAATGGTTGAGTATAGTTGACGGGAAACCGTGGACCTAAGTTCCGTGCTATTTGGTATTCGTAAGCAACGTGTGCCTGTAACCTTAAGGGGACTGATGCTCTCGCTTCATCCAGCTTCACAGTCAGAGACGTGGTCACTGAACTATCCGCGCCACGAATAACAAGTAAGCTTGAGGCTTATTTACAATTGATTGAGCACCAGGGAGCATAATTTATCTTAAGATTACCGATACACCTTGTGGGAAAGTATCAAATATCCAGTGTTTTCCATCGATTAACTCCAACCATCACCTTACATCTCAACATAGTGTACGGGATATCGAGTTGCTTAGACTAGAGGCTACATTGCAACTTGTTTGATAGAATTCCATCGGCACTAAATAAAGACTTGAAATACATCACATTGGTCATTACTCAGTTATCGATTAATTGTCGTGAAAAGAAGCATAGAATGTAAAGTTGATTACAAAAGTTTTTGTTTTCAACCAATAAATAAATAAGCATTGTTTCATCAGGTCTTTTTACAGACAAATTTATGTATCCTGAACTTGTTGTTGTTTAAATTCTGAATTAATAGATTATGGAGAAATTAACAGAATTTCCTATACCATCGATAGCATCTGTAAATGGTCCTGCTGTCGCTGGAGGTTGTCAATTAGTTGCAGCTTGTGACTTAGCGATATCAGCCAAATCTGCGATATTTTCAGCCAGTAGTATTAAGCTAGGATTATTTTGTAGTACACCTGGTGTGTCATTAGTTCGAGCGATCGGGTTACGAGCTGCTAATGAACTACTTTTAACAGGTAATCAATATATATATATATATATATATATATATATATATATATATATATATATATATATATATATATATATATATATATATATATATATATATATATATATATATCAATCCATTCTGTATTATTCTATTGGTGCGAAACATGTTCCTTAAGAGTAGAAGACATGCATAAGCTAAATATTTTTTTTATTATAGTTGCCTTCGAAGCATTTCTATCTTTACGTGGAATGACTAGTGAGCAATGTTTAGATTAAACACATAATATAAGGCAAATGTAGCAGATCGATTGGCTAGGTTGTAGGTCATCAACTGAGATGGTTTTGATATGTATTATATATATTGAGCAGCTGACTACTTCGATAAACGCTACTTGCTAGTACAGAAATGGTTAGGACGATGCTACTAGCGGTCAAACCAATATAGAACAACAGACCATGAAGCTGTTGACCGTTCTGAATCTTGCCGATAGATGCAGACTACCTGATTGACATCCTTGCGATTCTAGCAACCGATGATTAGGGATTTTGTGCTAGAGACGTTGGGTGATGTCGCTGAGGATCGATCACAATCGCTGTGGTGGATCCACTTCATTTTTTTCTATCTTTTCGGACCATGTTCTCAACGCTTGATCTTTCTCATTATCACTGCTGTTACATAATTTCAACTTATTTGCTCTCGTCCTATTGATTTCCTCTCGTTGTGTTAATTATATGGCGACTTGGGCCAACATACTATGTACAAATATGCACATTGATTGACTGACTGACTAATATTCTGGTGGATGATGATTAATCAGTTAAAGGGAAAACTATGTCCGGTTCTTTGTGCTGACTTTCAGCTTCACTGAAATAGATGCCTACCAAAGTGATGATGGGTCCAATACAAAGGAAATAACATTTCTCTTACATTAAAGCTTTTAATATGTATCAAAAATACATCCTTTCTACACCTGTAATTAGCTTGGTTGTCAGAAAGTATTCCGTAAAATTTCTCAACTAAGTTTCTGTGATCAAATATTAAGGCTTAAATAGCATTTACTAGATATTAAAAGCGACATCTTAGTGGTTTCACAACCTGTTTATGAATAGTTAAATGTTAGGTTCGTAATGATAAAGTCTTCACCGATGGCGGAAATCTGTGGAGCAAGGTAAGTGGTGGTATTCATAGGGTCGATCTTTTTTGACTTTTTTCATTGTGGGGAAGCAAAATTGCTTCAGAAATTGGTTTCCTGAGAGAAATTACTTGCTATTGTCACACCTCTGTACATTTAGTTGTACGAATTTGTCCTCAGACCTTGAGTTTGCTGCTTGCAATCTGACTGTAATGTATGACTCAGAAATATTACGAGAAATTTGGATAGATTCAGAGAAAGGCTTATGAGAAAATACCTCGTTTAATGAACTATTCGAAGTAACATCCTTCTCGATTCAGTCTAAGCCTACTAGGTCCAAATCATGCCGACTCGTCAGATAACAAACGTTATCAAATTTATGTTATTTGAACTTTACCTCGCACATAACTTAAGTTAGCTTCACTATATCTCCTGGTTCATTTCGAGCAACATGTTCGGTTAGTTGAATGCGTGGGCATCCTAGCTTACGCCACGTGTTTTTAGAAATCAGTGTAACGTTGGAAGCCGTGTCTAGCCGAAGACGAATAGATTTTCCACTCACTAATAAGTTTACATACTTCCTTGATTTGGATCTATGAATTTCGTTTCATATTCCCGCTACGAAGTTTTGACTGGCGTTTAGTTGCTGGTCAGTGACCTTCTTTATGACCAATGCGATGACAGTGGCGGCACTTGTGATTCTTGAATGGATATAATTTCACAAAATGCCATGCTCCACGAAACCAACATAGTGATGGTGGTTTGCCAGCAGGTTATTATGCGCTTGCTGTGCTTTGTTTGAGAGATTTAGAGGATTTAACTGCATTAAGTGAACCGAAATCGGAATGTTTCCGTTATATCACGACGAGAATAATGGGTGATAACTGTTGGAATCTATTTATGAACTAATACCGTTTATTTTTTATTGTTAAGTAACTAAACTATGTATATTCATATACCCCTTATTATAAGCTTCATTTTGACCTATAAACTATTATCATACGACTTACTTTTCTCAAGTTATATCCAGTTTATTAATTACAGTCAACCGCAATCACAGCCACTTTTTGGCTTGATCTTTTACAGTTGTTATTTTCTATTTATGGTGTGATGTAGTATGTTTGGCTTATATATAAACCCAGTACTTTTGGAATGTACGATTCGTATCGCGGAGGCTGAGATTTGTGTTCTGTACTTAACAGGCAGGGAAAAGGGCCAGTCGAGACTCGAGGCCGTTTGTTCAGGTGTATGCGTCATTTGTTGATTGTATAAATCCGCATATCTAAATTTGGAAATCGTATTCGCGGTAATCGTACAAGCTAAAAATATAACAGTTTCGCCTTGTGTTGCACCATTGCGATACCGTATTTGAGATTTAACAAACGTTGACACTCAGTTGTGACCATTTGCAAAGCCGTGTTCGATTACTACTCAATGCGGGTGCCCATATCTTCTGGATTCTTTAATCCATAGATAAAAACCAGACATTTTAATTGATCCGCTGTAATTCCATTTTAAATAGTTCACATTCTCGATTTACTTTTCCAACATAGGTGAGATAATTCTTGGATAGGATTTTATTTCAAAACACTGGTGGCGAATTAAAGAGGACGAATGTATTTGTAAAATCTCAGCGAAAGAATATGAAATCCAACGTTTCGCCTGGCAATCTGGTTCAAGCTTTTTTCAAGGAAAATATAATCAAACAACAAAATTACCGAATATTATTATTGGAAACGTTGGATTTACTTCAAATTCTTTCGCTGAGATTTTACAAATACATTCTTCCTCTTTAATGTATCACATTGACTCGGCGCCCAAATATTGTGAAACTATTCGTTTAGATTTAGACGAAAGTTCTTATTTACTAGTAGCGAATGTTGAATGATGAGGATTGTTCCCAGAAATTTGAGGTAATATTTGGACTGTGTTGTTAAAAGATGAAATTCGCATATTTATTATATTCACGTGTTCCAAGTCTTCTCAGGAGTAAGCGAACTTAACTTCGTCATCGGGATTTGAGCATTCAACACGGAATATGTTTTCGAAACGATGAAACCAAGAATCGAATATGATACCAGATTCAGGATCATAGCTGAATCCACAAATGGAATTTACAATGCTTTCATATTTATCTGATTGAAAGGTTGAAGTTTAATGAAAGGAGAGCTTCTGCGTTAATGCGTCCAAAAGCTTCATTCAATTTGCATCACTCTGCACTTGCAGAATTTGTAGAGTAGTTTTAAGGTCGTCCAATGATGTAGACATTTTGTTCCAGAGCGATCGAAACAAAAATTCTCTGTTGCCACTTTTGTTACGTCTTTGGTTTGTCTGATCAATAACATAGAGGAGAGAAGTTGTCTCGATATAGGTTGAAGCCTTAACATGATAGGCCAATTGATTTAACCTTGGGGCTAGAAATGCGTAAGTCCCAGTCGAGACTAATGGCCTTGAGTAGAGAAAGGCGAAAAACTATTCTATCACCTGGTTGGTTGACAAGCGAGAGAAATGACGAGTCAACTGGAACACATGAATAATTTCCGATTCCCAAATCACATTAGCGTAAAAAAATATACACGAATAAATAGATATCTGACATGTCCACGACGTACAAACAATTAGGAAAATACAATTATGCTCAAGCTGGTCATTAGGGTAGAAAATAGAGTACTAAACGTTACGTTTAAATTACGACGGCTTTGGAATAGAAAAAGTTATGGCAGTTAGTCATACATCAAACGAAAGCTTATGGTTTATATACTAACTAGGGACAAAACTAAATGTTATTGTTTTACAAGCTTTGAATTAAGTGAAACAACACCCCAAAAATAGCTTCCGTTGTTTGTCATAGCTTCTTTGTTTCTCCGTTTATATCAAGTATGCTTGTCTTTCGAAAGACAAGTGGGATATTTCATCTCCATAAGTGGCGACAAAAAATGACGAAAAGACGGGATTTTCGCACCCGTGTTGGGATTTCACCAGTCACTAATTGCACTAGGTAATGTCAGGCCTTGATAAAAATCTCTTTAAATTGGACTAATCCCCACGAACTTTCCAACCAAATAATCTTACATTTTTGCTCGTATGATTTTTCAGTAATGTATTCAGTCTTATAAAAATCCTGTTCCCTGAGGTTTTTCTGAAGAGAAACAAAATTTTTTTTTAGGCAAAGCTATCAGTGCTGATAGAGCCTACGAATTGGGTCTTGTTCATCGTGTAGTTGAAGATGATAAACTATATGAAGCGTCTATTGAATTCGCCAAAGAAATTACTCAACATAATAAAGATGTTGTACAGTTAGGTCGAGAAACACTTCACAAACAAGTAAGTTTATTGGAAATAAATAATTTTGATTTTTTGCTTTTTTCTGTGATTAAGTATTTTTCCGCATCGTCCCGCTTCTACCAGATGATTTTCTTTTCTGTGGGCTATTGTGTGAAGCATTAATCCATCAAGTTTTGTTGATAATCAGATACATGTAATTAGAAATAGTTACTCAATTATGAACTATTTAATCAACTGATAGATAGAGATAGATACTAACTTTGGATCAAAATTATAGTGCATTTATTTCAACTACCATGTATCATGTATAATCTGACGATATTAAATGAGCGCTAAGATAGAAGTCTATACAGTTTGTTTTAAATCTATGACTGTATATTTTAATGCTGACTAACTTTACAAAGAAGTGTAAACGTTTTAAGTATTTGTTTTCGTTGTTCTTGTACATATGTCATTTTGTAAAGTTGACGACTTGCATCTACGAGAAACGGTTTGGAATCATTTGCAATACCTTAAAAATAATAAAGTCCCGATCACATATTATATTTGGAGTTGATTTTCTAGTCTTGACTCTCCCCTATAATTCCTCGGAAAAATCTCTAGAAGCTAGTTAATATACTAAGACTACTTCAACTAATGAAGGTTATTTTGGAACTTCTTAGCGAAGTCTACAAAGTGACTGATGATGTTTTTATTATCATGGCTCGATAACTATCCAATTTATTAATGTAGAATAGTTGGAATGTGGCTAACAGTGGAATCCAGGATGCGCGTTTCGTTCTACAGTTAGTTACATTCCACCTATTCTATATTAGATGACATTAATGAAATTATGCAAGTTTTGTTATATATATCCCAGTTTGATTTACTTCAGCAAACACGCTCCTTGGTGTCCACTGCTTGATATGTACAAAATGTACTGAAACTTGTCACGTAACACTACATCAAGATAATCCGCTTCAAGGATACACATTTGGCGGCTTAGATAAACTTATCAGTGCTTTTTTATTTATTTGGTATAAAGGTGTTAGGATAGTCCCGAAAATATCTCTCAACGAGTCCCTGGTGGTCCAGAAATCCCAGCAAGTTTGCTGTCCGATCGGCGTCGAATAGAATTTTCGCAGAAAAATCTGAAAAACAGAAACATATGCCGCAGCTTGGGTTGGATAATTACCCATGAGACTGCTATAGTTAGTATGGTTCCAGAAGCCCAAGGCCGCCTGTAATAGTATAAATACCCTTACTTTCCCATACCTTTGTTAACCTTGAAGTAATGTGTTCTTTTTACACTTCGCGCGTTTTCCCTCGTATTTAAGTCGCCGTGTAGATTTAGCCCGAGGTTATTAGAAGAGCTTAGGAAACCGATTCAAGCGTTTAGTTAGAAGGCTTATATAAAGGGACAATAAAATATGTATGCGTCACACTCATCATTTCATGTGTGTGGGCTTGGATGCTACGCGGCGCTCAAACCGAAGCAAGTGGTTTTCTCAGGGAGCTATCATTTGAACCTTTGGTTTATAGATCTAATCCGCAAGGCAGTGGATTAATGTTAGGAGATGCAGTTTCATGGCACCCAGTGATCAAGTATGGGTTCATACGCCATTTGTCCCCTCAGGATCCTGAAGCCCATGTATACCATTGGTTTGGAATCAGGGTTTTCCAAATGTCCTAGATGGATCCTCCGTACCCACCAAACTGATGGGACATTAGATTTTTGTCCTCAATTTCCTCCACGAGAAAGCAATGAGTAGGACTTTCCTGGTAATGGTGTGGTGTGACCTACTTATATTGATATAAGTAGTATATAACGTGCGTTAAAAGAACGTAATGTCCGGCAGCAGAAGATGGCGAAGATCAAGAAGGGAAGAGCAAGAGCACAATGGAATTGTAAGAAAACGCATGTACAATGGAATGGGAGACAATGGATTAGTGTTTGCAACGGGAACAGTACAGTTTGATATAATGGAATAATATTTTGCAAATTGACGATTGACTTTATGGTACTCACATTTTATTGAGATAGTCTGTAATTTTTGTGCTAAATACAATCGATTGTCCCCACCCGTGTTCTTCTTCACTACAGTGGCTGTATACGCATGGTTATATATGACAGCATTTCGAGAGGTGGAGCGGACTCTTCCAACCTTCGGTTGTATTATGGCATTAGGGGGCATTAATAGTCCCTGGTATCGACAATAGTTAAACACAGACCCTTCTTACTAGTGTTTTATTTGGGTTTTCATTTTATTTTTATTTTTTTAACCTAACAGGCTTCTATGCCATTAATGGATGCTTATGCAATAGCTTCAGATGCGATGGTAAAAAATTTACAATTCAATGATACCAAACAACGCATTCAATCATTTTTAAATCGGAAGAAATAAACAATTAGATCCATGTAATTAAGATTCTTATGTTGATACTTATTTTTTGTTTGATTGTATATGTACCCATGCACGCACACACACGCTCGCCTAAATGTATACTATAACCTGTACACATCAGATAAATTGTTTTTTTTGTTTTTTAGAAAAAAACTTCATATTCATTTTTCTTCTTACGTCGTTTTTCAGTATCATTTTATTTTTCTGTTGAAATGAAAGAAAATATAGAGAATTAGCTTAGTTTTGAGTTCTGTCAATGTGTTCTCTTCTAATTATTTCGTTTACTTGAATGGTTTTACTGTATGCTTGTTTGTCTGAATTGTTATGGATTACATTGATAGTATGTAATGTGAGAAAGCTTGGGAGTTTAAAAAAAAATTCATTTTTTTTACCGTGTGTTAGTTAGTAATTGAGTATAGTAGTTGAACTGTTATATTTGGTCGTCGCTGATTGCTGTGCCAGAAAAACGCTGATCATTTATACTCGGAACGAGGGACCTCGGCAATTCCCATGATGCGAAAGTAAGAACACAAGACTGGTATAGGTGAAGATTTATTAGACCCAAACACTATAACGACGACAACGAACGAATGTAGTCTAAAATACACTGGTTTATATATTGATTGTACACCCATTTTGATTAATAATTAGGAATAGATCACATACTCAGTTATAACAAATCACTTACTGAGCATAGTTCATATCAACTGCATACAAGAATATCGTACGTTATATAGAAGAAAATATCATACTGGGAAAACAATCAGATACTACACTGAATGATCAACACGTTGAATCAAAACGGATGTAATGTTGAACAAAACTCATAATGAGTAAATCAATCGAAAATTGACTTTTCTTTCTATCATGAACCTTATAATTTCGAATGCAAATTTCGGATTACAACGCTAATTACTTCAAAAGGGATTTTTTAAAAATCGCAGTTTTTATCTTTGAGAAACGTGGGGACCCTTGAATCTGACACATTTAAACTCATGTCCTAAATGGCTGGTTTTCAAACATACCTTAAAAAATGATTGGAATACTTACTTTATTTTGCCTGTATTGTCGTCCATCAGTGTTAACAAACTATTGTCTTTTCAGTAGTTTGGAGTTAGGTCATGGATCAGTGAGAGCATAATACAGGTTCTATTGAAGAGTATTTGCATACATTCACTGTTCGGTTGATATTTTGATTTACATAACAAATATGAAAGGCGAACAGGATTGTTTAATGACACTGTTTAACTTATCACTGTGTACATTGATGTGACTTAGAAATCTTAGATGTTGTCTAGACCAACTAAACTATATACTGGAATTATGTCTATTGTTACCCATCTATAGCAACACATGACCGATTTCGGATTCATTGCTTTTAAGCTACACAACCCTCAGTCATTTTAGTCACTGACTTCTGTTTTGCTTAAAAGTTCGACGAAAATATCTGTTGTTCATACACCGCTCAAACAGACTAATGATTATTTTCTGGTATATAAATATACATTGTCCGTAGTTCAACCTGAAATCTGGATTTAGCCCATTGGTTGTATCGGAAGCTTCCTTGGCTCTAAATAATCGGTAGGGAGATGCTCTTAAACTTCTCATATCATCTTAACAAGGTTAGTATTTATTTATTTGTCTTTTTTTAAAAACTCTATATTTAGCTACTCTATGTAATGGCAGTGTTATCGAGTTCAACACCAATGTTCAAGTATTACAGTTTGTAAAGCTAGATATTGTTTACTTATCAGACTCAAAGTAAGTGATATCATTTTATTTATTTACTTATCTATATCAAGACGATTTAGAATTTCCATCACTTTCAAAATGGAAAAAAATTCACAAGGTAAAAATAATCCAATTACAAAAAATGAAACAGTTGCTGACATATCAAATTCCTCAGTTGATGATAATTCACTAATTAGTCGAGCAACTAAAGCTGTTCGTGATTATCTGGAATATGATTTTGAATGTAAGTCTGTGGATTATTTTCAACATTTTTTTCAAAGTATGGATAATTGATTCGAGTATACTAAGACCTGTAGCGAAATGAGATTTGCTCAGGATGCAAGTATGTCAACAGAGACCGGTTAATTTCAGTCCTGATCTCAATAACAGCAAATTACAAACTTTTGTTAATGTCTCAATACCTGTTGAACAGGTTATCGATTGTTTAGAGCAAGTAGCTTAGTGAATATCGTGTTGTTGTTCAAAGCCATTGTTATTGAATTGTAATCAATATGAACATCAACATTGGGGTGTAGGTGCTACATCCACCTGATAAGTCCCAAATAAGACGAAACACACATCCCAGATTTTAACTGTTAACCTTATTTCAACCATATATTCAATTTACTACCAAGTTTAGCATCGTTGCTATCTGTCAAGTATGGAAATATAACAGTAGATACCAATCGATCTCAGTCCCTAATATCAACAAAGGGAAAATTTAACCCCTTAATTATGGTCGCTTTGTTTAGAAGTGTTTTATTTTACTTAATATGACAAAATCGTCGTAAAGCTGGCCACAAAAATAATATGCACTACAAGGAATAAAGAAATAACATTGACGAGAAATAAGGTTTGCAAGGGGGTGAATGGAAGTATATATATATTTAAGTCACACTTTTTCAGCAATGGAATGTACCCCATTCCTTAAAAAGAATATCAAGTTTTGGCCAATCGCGTGCACTTAGCATTTGGTCGATGACCTGTTGTATTAAGTTATAGTCCAGTTAAAAATATAACGGTGAAGAATTTCTTTCAATAAAGTGATTTCGTTTTGCTCTTATGAAGAATGTAGAGAAAAATTTCATTTGTTTGGGCTATCTCTAGGATCTTAACCTGGAAGTTGTGATAATAGTCATATAATCCTTCTTTCACACTACGGCTCCATGTTATAAGCTGACGATCCTTCCACTTTTTCCACTCAGTGCCACTATAGGCACTTAATACATAGTGCGAAAGTTGTTGGAATAACATTCACATAATATGTTTAAATCACCGAATTCGGTATTTCAAGATAGTGACATCAATTGGGTTGTCGTCACTGTGCCCGAACACACATTGCCAGACCTCAGCTATACTAGCATGATGTTGTCACTAGATATAATCCGTCCTTCGAACATAATGACGGTTATGAATCGAGTTACTGAACATTCCTAATTCAGTGAAGTTTTAAAAGCATAAGGCAGAACTGTCCTCCCTTCTGACCCGTTGTAAACCTGAACTTCTACAGCCAGAATAACACCACAACGGTCCCGAAGATTGTCCATCACAGTATATATTTCTTTGTTTTTCATTATACATTTCAAAATAATAAAAGTTATCCTTTTAAAAATATCATTCCTAGTTATTATTTCTATTGTATTTATTTATAATACATCCAAGTTGTGATGCAATAAGGTATCAACGGAAAATGTAATAAGTATTCAAAATTATCCCCAAAGGTATGAAATCTCTAAGATTCTGATGGGTAAATCAAAACACTGTATTTGTCTGAATAACGATAATATTACGCAAACAATATAAGCAATAAATTTACACATATTGAATTCTGTGGTATTAAATAGAGCAAGAACAAAGATTGGTGCAGAATAATATGAATTCATTTTATTTCGTTAGGTTCTCATCAGCTGCTTACAACCTAAATTATTTGAAATTCAACGTTATTATAGATATTGACATATTTATACATAAGAGTGCGATTAAGGATCATTACATGTGTATCATGATGTAGCGAAGATTCAGATAGAGCTAATGAGCTCATAAAATGTTTGATTCGAATAAATAAGTAAAGTTAGAGAGAGAAAGTTCCAGAGCATTGAAATAGTGATTAGAACTCATGAAAATAGATTAATGGTAATAAAGAAAATATGAATTGAAATCAGTCAGTTATGTATGATATAATTGAAAAGAGTTGGAGTAATGATGCAATAAATAAATAGAGAAATAAATGAATAAAAGGGGGTTATTGTTACCAGGGTAAAGAAAGATTTATTACTGTCTCTTTTTGTATACATAGATCTGATTTTAAACGTTTGATTGCTATTGCTTCGGCAAATTTTTAAAATGTTGGAGTTTGATTGTTTGTTAATCACCTTGAAGGACTTCAGTATATCAGCTTTATGTCCTGTATCAAGGAGATGTCTTGCGATAGCACTGTTGAATGAGTTCAATCCATTTAATCTTAAACTTTTCGGAATATGTTCTTTGAATCGGACGTAGGCTCTCCTTTCTGTTCTACCTATGTAACTGCTTTGGCAGGTACATGGAAATTTGTATACACAGTTGGTGGTAGCATGAAAGGGATACCTGTCGACCTTTGATTGTGTCAAAGAACATGTTGTTTTGGACAGGACAATCAATTTCGCTGCAGGATAAGTTCTTGTCAGTGCAGTTTTTAGTCTCATATTGATTGATCCTGTGACATCGTCACCTTTGAATTTAAGTTGAATAAAAATAGGCTTTTTATTTGCTGTAATTTCTTTGGGTTTTTTATCTTCACATTTGCCGTATTCGGCTACAATTCTATAATATTAATAATGGTACCATAAACAATGCATTTTACAAATCTCGATTCAAGCGGTGCATATGACGTTTACGTATTTCAACTTGCTAGCAAAAGAATGAGTACTTCGATAGACTATGTTATACACAGTAGCCATTTCGATTATTTATTTGAACACATAAATATTGGTACAAGAAAGCACCAGATATCTATGCGCCACACAAAACAGTGAGAACTCGAAGAGAAAAAAAAGGTAAGGAGCGTAAAAAAAGCAATAACAAACTGATTACTTTAAGGTGGTGTGATAATAATAATAATAATCATAATAATAGTAATGATGGGGGAAACGGAAAGGTACACCATGAAAAAATCTTTCAGTTAAGGAAGAAACAACTATATTTTGTGAAGAAGGTTACAGCAGAATCGCCACTGGCTTCTATTCTGAGCCATATCTGATAACATCTCTAGTCACTGTGTTGCACCATCTCTCGGACCCCAGCTAGGGAGTCGTGAAGGACCAACACAAGCCAGCCCTTTGCAGCTTTCTTTCATACCACGACGCCGTGTCATACACTGACCACCTCTCCGCTTTTTCAGGCCAGTCCCAGCGTCGGCAAATAATGCACGACGTGGAGTTCACTGAAACGACATTCGTAGGACATGTCCAAGCCACTTAATTCATTATTTCAAGATGGTGACACCAATTGGATTATCATCTCTGTACCCGAACACACGATGCCGAACTTCTGCATTACTAACATGGTGTTGCCACTGGATGTCAGCAATCCTTCGGAGACAAACGATGGTCGAACACAGAGAGTCGTCTAACATCCATAACTCGAGGAGGCCAGGTATCATAAATATAGGGCAAAACAGCTCCCATCGATGCGTTGTAGATCTGACCTTTTACAGCCAGACTGACATCATGAAGGCGCCAAAGATGGCCCAGATTGGTATAAGCCGTTCTGGCTTTCATTATACATGAGTCGATCTCATCACTCACGCCACCACAAGCACTTATGCAGCAACCTAGATACACGAACTTCTCGACTACTTCTATCTGCTCACCATCCACGGTGAGTACAGGATTGGAATCCTGCCAGTCTTGTAGAAGTACTTTGCACTTCGGAGGTGCAAAGCACGTACCATACCTACGGACATTGATTGCCAACTGATTAACTGCTGATTGCATGGCTTGGGCATTATCGCACAGTAAGACAATATCATCCGCATACTCAAGGTCGAAGAGTCTTTCTCCAGGCAACAGATCCACACCGCCATCACTTACATCCATCAGAGCTGTTTCCAGAATGTCATCGATGGCAAAGTTGAAGAGGAATGGTGAGATTGGGCAACCCTGCCTAACCCCACTGCTTGAATGAAACAATAGAGAGAGGTGGTTGTATGTCCTCATTCTGTCTGACGTGTTTGTATATAGTACCTTTAGGATGTTAATAAACTTCTCAGGCACACCCTTCTTCAATAGACAATCCCAGAGAACAGTCCTGTCCAACGAATCGAAGGCAACACTGATTTTAAGAAACGTTACGATTGTTTCCCTTTGATAAATATGAAGGTGTTCTAACATTTAGCGGAGGATGAAGATATGAGCAGTACATCCTCGACCAGAACGAAAACCAGCCTGCTCCTTGCGAGTCAATCATTTTCGGGTTTTGAACATTTCAATACAATCATTCTAGACAATAATATGAAATAGGAACTGTTCACATTAAATACGGACACGTTTACGGATAAACAAGTGTTCGGTAAACATGCAAAAAAGTATAAATTATTAAGAATAACAAGGAAATGAATTTACAATAATACACTCGATTAAATGCCGCCGATTTCTTGAAGTACCTACAAATATCGCACGACAACGTAATGACATTACAAATTGTATGCTCAAAAGTGATTGCCATTGGCATCAGTTACTGAATATTAGTGAGTAATATAATACACTTAAGGTAACCGAATGAAATCGAAAGTTACAAGTAGGATGAATTGCATTTAAACCTAAAAGTATTAGAAATTGATTGTTTTAACACGCTGGGAAATAAGTTCTTGTTTTATTTTTGCACATAAAACTTCTTTCATAAAGATTTAAAATCACATCTTGGATGATCTAATCTATATTTTTGTAGGTCTTGTTTCTGATGTCAATATATTAACACGTATGAATCAAGCTTCAAGTGAACGTTACATGGAATTAACTACAAATACAAATGATATGACAAGAAAATTAATTGATGTGAACAACCGTTGTAAGTTTGATACTATAATTGATGTTAAAATCCGGTTTCGTTGTTTGGTTCATTATAAGTAATTTATTTGTAAACCAACGTAAAATATAGCTAGTTGATTAACATATGATCTGTGGATTAACAAGAGGCAAAGTAGACTTACTGTTCATTCAGTGTTATATCTTTCCATTAGAGAAGCAGATAGACAGTTCAATATAAAACTGATACTCTGGGTCAATCGAACATAGGTCAGATGATAAATGTAAAATACTGACGGGGCATATTATTGATTAAGGTTCAGTTTCACTTTCTTGACGAATCGGTGTACATGATTGACTAAAAATCCGGCGTAAGCTTTTGCGAGTGACGCACATATATTTCTTATTCATTTGTGCGTATTTTTTTGATTCAGTTATCCTTCAGAAGTTTCCTGATGACTTGGTTTTCTCACCCAAGTACTTGGTTTGGCCTCATGTATAGGAAACTTTTATACCGATGTCAGAATTGGACGAACTCGGAAGATAACAGAAATATGTCACATGAGTGCAGGTTGTTTTATTGCATAAATATACAGAAAATACTCGCTAATAGAAAATTCAAGATTTAAAAGATGAGATCACTAACAATCAAGAGTGGCCAAATCAAGATTCAGCATCAGTCTGTAAAGTTATTGACTTTTGTTTTGGGTAGGTGTTGATAGATTCAGACCATTTGTTTGGTATCTGTAGGATTATCATGATCATTAACTAGGTGATATCTATCAGAATAGGTCACAGTAATGCATATTTATTCACATTTTATCTTCTTTTAGATCTTGTGCTTCAATATTCATTCACACATACCGTTTCTTCTATATTTCTGAATTATATTCTCAATTTTGAATCTTTCTCATTATTATCGTCACAATCGTCATTGCAAAACTGTTGCTGTTCATCTTGCCAATTGCATATCATCGTGTTGAACCAACACATATGTGTACTAAGCTCTATATTGATTGTAACTGACTGACGAACCTCACGTCAGTACTACAAGAGAGAAAGTTAACATGATGAAAGGCGGATGTGAATGGTTAGTTTCGAATGCTATAAAAGAATAGGAAGTTAAAATGGACACGTTAATCAAGATAAATATGAATATAGTGAATAGACACAACAACTATACAATTGTAACAGGTTTTGTCCCATTTTACTCATCTTTTCTAACCATTGATAATAAGTACTTCACCATCAAAGAGGGAACTATACAGATCAAGAATTGTTAGTAACTGATGTAGCCTATGTCTGGTACTGCAACTTCATAGGTAATATATACTTCAATTTAATAAAATTTTCTGAATAACCCGAAGTTAATTCGTTGTAAGCAACTTTATCACTGATGTTATGTAGATGAAAGTACTCACCAGGAAACCCTGTTTAACGCAGATTTCATGCCCTTTGAGACTTGCCATACAAGGTGTAACTATGATCTTGATAGAACTTGGTATTCTTGTCATCCCATTTATACTGTTTGAGGCCTTATCATTAAGCTTTTTGGGCCGTGACTAGCCTCCTGTAGAACTAAGATATTTGTGTTAATAATTGGTTCATCACTGAGTTGTGACCAATGTCATGTTTATCTTGTCCCTGATAATAATCATGTTCTATTGAGCGACTGCGATTTCCTTCTAATTACTTTCAACCATCTAATATAAAAACACAATACATGAGACATTGAGTCCAGTAGATTAGTTGGCACATTGCAATTTACTGATCGATGAAATACGATCAGCATTAAAATGAATTAGACAAACATGACGTTAATTACTTCTCAGTAACTAATCAGTTGTAACTATCACTGTTTCGTATCACCTTTATACGTCGTAATTACGAAAAGGTTTTTAAAGTAATTTATTCTTAGTTCTTCCAATAATTTCTTATTATTTGCCTTTTTCTGTTTGTTTTTAATCCTGTTTAGTTGCTTCATTAAGTGATGCCCTGAAAAAAATTGATCAGTTCGATAAGGATATAGAACAGTTGGAGAAAAAAGCGTTTGAAATTGAAACTTTAACCAAACAACTAGGTAGACATGATATTTCTGCGTTTAATTATGGAATTGGAACAAAAAACAGGGATTCTGGCTGATCTGAAATAGTTTGTGTTGTGATTAGTTTAATTCGTAGGTTTCATTCATTGCATTTAGAGTAACATTGGAAACTACGGGGTGTATCAGCCAATTGTTTCGCCCTAGTTTAGGACTCTTCATCAGTTTACATTCAAAATCCTACCAGGAATCGAGCCACAAACTTTCAGATCTGTCTGTAAACGTTTGACCATTAGAACAACGAATGACTTACAGGACGAAACAGCTATCCGGCGCCCTCTAGTTACCAGTGTTACCTTAAATGCGATCCATCGGTGATAAATTAAACCTATAAATTTTTAGTTTAAATATTTTTTTGTTCTAAAAAATATCAATTTATATACTGCACCTTTATTTATTTATTTTAACACATAGATATTGGTACAAGGAGGCACCAAATACATATGCGCCACACAAATCTCACTCGATATGTGTGAGGGCTGTGATACTGCCCGGGTGCCCAAACCGAAGCAGATGGTTTTCTTAGGGGGCCACTCCCCGAGCCTTCGACCTGGAGGTCTGATCCACAAGGCAGTGGAGAAACGTAAGGAGATGCAGTCCCATGGAAGCCGGTGACCAACGATTGGTTCAAACGCCATTTGTTCCCGCAGGATACTGGAGCCCATGTGCACCCTTGGTTTGGAATCCGGTTAAAGCGCCAGACATTCGCTTTTCGTCCTCTCATTTTCGTAAACAACACCCGTGGTGTGAGAAGGCAGTGAGTAGGACTTCCCTGGCAGAGGCTATATACGCGTGGCCATGTGAGAGCATTTGGAGAGGGAGAGCGGACTCTCCCCAATCTCGGCCGTACCAGGGCATTTGGGGGCACCTTTGTAACCCATCACATATCTTCTGACTTGTTTCTTGATCTAACGTTTGGCTAAAAAAATGTTCAGTCTAAAAGCACTCGCTTGTAGAAGAAACGTAGAATAAAGTTAATGACAAATATGATAGTAGTATATGCTGAAATAATAAATGCTCTTCAAATTACACAAGTATTCAGAATTAACAACCTTGGAAACTAAAAAATTCAAGTCATGTTAGATGATAAGTGGAGAATTTCCCTACTTTAGAATTATATTCCTATTCTTACATAGTCTGAATTATTTTATTGGAGCATACTTTCTGTCACTGAATCGATTAACATCGATCATACAATCATTTTTTTATGTTTTAAATCGGTTAAAAAGGTATAGAAGATGTAATATTTTAGTTTAGTAATAACTGATTACAAGTCACTGGTGTGCTACTCAGAGATAGATGGAATCTTGTAACGTTGAGGAATTCCTATGTTATCAATACAATCTATTCCACTCGTTTGTATAATATATTTTATGAACTTTATAATTATTTAGAAAAATTCATAGTAATTTAATTATTGATTAGTCAATTCTTAGTAGCCAACGATATATTTTGATGGGATATTATTTCCATTTAATGACTGTCATTTTGAATTATTTAAATGATCGTGGATGCGCACTGCTGAGGAGTCCCATACTAGGACGAAACGGCCGTCCAGTGCTTCCAGGTTTTCAATGGTGGTCTAGCTTCAACTGACTCATGATTTCAATCTGTGAAAATTTCTAAAATCTCCACAAACCCCTTCTGATAGTAATCATCTGCTCACTAGTGACTGACTCCAAGAGATACTCCTGGAGTTCTAGTGGGAAGCCGTTACCAGTGGAGTACAACCAAGTCTGTTGTGAGATATCAGCTCACTGAAGACAATGGTATATGGTGGCGCAACTTCGTGGGTTGGTTGAAGTTAGACATTAACACCGTTGGATGCCGGCTCAGTGGTCTAATGGTTAAATGATATTTATCGTTTACATGTTCTACTTTTCTAATTTCACAACTTTTTCTGTCTGTTATTACATCTGATTGGTGAAACTGTAATTTATGGACGACTTTTAAGTGACACCAAAGTGACCTTGAGGCAACTCACCTACCTTACTAAGGTAGTATGAAGTGTTAACATTAGAATTTAGGGTTACGAATTAAAGTAAGTGGTTTCAGGATTTCAATAGTGGTCTAACTTGAATCGGTCCATGGTTTTTTATCAAGTTCAACAATCTCCACAACCCTATATTGAAAATAAAGCAAGGATTTTTATCATGAGCTGACATCAGCTGTAATGCCAAAATGCTATTCAATTCGACGGACAAATTACTTTCGCAACAAAGTTTAAGACTTCTGTTCTTAATTTGATTGCTTCACCCACATATTAGTCTGTAGTAGACCAAATATATTAGTTCTAAAATAATGATAAAGTTATTACAAAAAAAGAGTAGAGACAATTGGTAATATACCGAAATATTAGTTATACACAAAGAAAAATATGGAACGTTACTTAAATTGTCAGGAGGCATGTTCGAGTTCCTTTTGGTCTAGTAATACATAACTATAAGTAGACAATGATTCCAAATGTTATTAATATAATTCAAATTGTGTATCCAGAGTAATCTCGCAATAAAGATATCAATATGATCTGTAAACGTAGACAGCAAAATATATTAAAGTTCTATTATTGCGACAGCTAATAAACGAAAACGATAAGTATTTTCGGGTGATTATCGATGTGTCTTGACATGAGAGTACAAAGCAGGGACGGAAGATCGAGGTCAAAAATTTTTAAAACAATTTTACGGTCAATATTAGTAACTGTACAAATTATCCGCGTCTCGCTATTTGATCTAATAAACGATAAATTTAGAATTATGTTACTTATATAAAAATAAAAGTAGTGTTATCCTTTAGACCAAAACAAATCTGTACGCTTTTATATTGCAATGGATTCCAAGTCCAAAAATATTGGACAATGTGTGGGTGCAGTGAAAATAAAATTCGTGTCAATGATATGATTCGGCATTTTTTCTCTCAAATACTTTCCTTATGTTTATATTAATTTAATATGACGCGATATAGTGAAACTGGACGCTACCACTACTACTATTAATACTGAACAGTCGTGTATAAATTGCCGGTTTACTTCCTTTTTTTAATCGCCTTGTATAAATGAAGTCTCGTTTTTTTTCTTTTTTTTCTCTTCTGGACTTTATATCTCTTTTCACGACTGCTCATCTTCTTTCTTTGATTAATACTAAAGCTTTGATGACTTGAAAATAGTTTTGTTTCTCAAAGTTTTTAAGTTATATCCGCCTATTTTATAGTTAGTTACTAGGTAAATGAAATAAAATGACATTTGAAACAGTAAAAAATCCATTTAAAGTAGTTTTGAAATCAAAGTAATACCTATATTTGCTATAACCGTCCCAAAAATACTGATAATTGCTACTGTGAATACTTTGAGCGCACAATACAAAAATGAAGAGAAAACTGATGGTAGAAGCTGATTTTATTCAAATTTCAGAAAACATGACCGTCTCTTTTACTAAACTAAAGTTATGTAAAGATTTTAATACATAATCGACCGATTATATCTAATAGTAGAGTCCAGGACAAATGTTTCATCGTATTCTGAACTTGTTCATTACGTGTACACCTGCATCCCATTGTTGACATTCACACCTGAGATTCATATCCAACTGGTTAATGTCTGTTACGTATAATCTATTAATGGTATTCATTATGTTTTGTGATCGTACAGTTTCGACAGACTAGCTTCCTACACAGCTTACTCAACCAGCTATGCGAGTAAAGTGACTGAAAGATAACTAAGAAGCTGTAATTAGCAGGGCTGAATTATTAGACATTTGTCCTTTTGACCCCAAACAGGGACATGTAAGCTAAGACTCTTGACTGAAAGTATAATCGGCTTCCTTCGATAGTGTATCTCGTTTATTATTTCTCATCTACCATTTGATCTTTAGTTGACTTATAAGAACAAGTAAGTGATATGCCTAAGCCCACTTATCCTCCCCATATCTAGACGAACGTCCTCGATTTGAACTTGTAGTTACCTTCATGTTCCTTTGAAATGTATCCTTTAATACATCTTTCGTTATATTTACTTTGTGAATAAACAGTAATTGCAGGTCGACTGCCTTTTTCCGTTGAAGTAGATAAACTTCTCAATGTTTATAGACTAGACTAAACCAGATGACAATACTAACTTTTCATGGATAAGGAATCGATTACTCTTCAGCCGCACAAATCAAATCAATGTTTGTGCCTTAAACTGCAACTTGCCTTTTTGGGATTAACCTGAATAAAATTATAATGATCTCTGATGACAATCAAATGAGAAATTCAATGTGACTACATTTTAGGCTATATTGTTCTCGTTGAATTGAATTGTTGTGATAATGAATCAGTGATGATGTGACGTTGCAATAGTGATATTGTTGTAACTCATTTGCCAAGTGAGTACTTGCTGCCCAAATGCCTCAGTGTTAACGTGTCAGAATGTAATGCGAGTTCCAATCCTACTAGTTGCATCAGTTCCATCTAGATTGGAATTACGTCTTGCTGATGAGTATTGACTGAGATGAAATATAGATTGAGTAAGGTTTCTTGCCTATTACTTCAAAACACCTAGTAGATCATATACTTGACTTGTATTTTTTCTGTATGGGCAAGTAATACTGTCCGAGTGCCCCTAAATTAAGTTAATCGAGGCTCAAGTTTGCAATCTTGTAGATGAAAGTTGATCACCTTACCCAGAAAGCTATCGTTAATCCTATAGACATATGCATATATGTACTGTTAAGAATTCTCTTAATTTTATATACTTTTCCTAATGTTTCAATGATTTTTTTATAATAGAATTTTTTTATGATAACAAACAATTCACATTTCAGAAAATCGTTACAATAAATTGGAAACTGAACGCAATCATTGAATGACTGTTGGAGAGGATCTACAGCTATTCATTTTGTACACATACTTGATTATGTACATCTATGTATATTTTTACAACCCATAAAACAATACCAATTTTCACTTCACATTCTTTTATTATCTAATATTATTCATTCCTCTTCAGTGTTCCATAAAAGTACATTTTCGAGCATTTTCCCATTCTATTAGTGAATGAGTGCTCCATACGACAGTACGCCACTGTAGTGGATCTCAACTTTCCAGATGAAAAAAAGAAATGAAAGAAAAGTTAGAGCTTTTGATGAAATATTCAGTGAAAATTATGATTTTATATATAGCAATTACATAATAAATGAACAGAAAATTACCCAAAAATCCTTGATACAGTCCAAATATTGACCATTGAAAAATAGATTCGCTACAAATTCACAATGACATATCCTGTCGCTTTTTTTTCTACATTAATTTTAATAACATGTTTTCGATGTCTTGTTTTTTTTACATTGAAACGGAAATATTTTTTTAATTTTAATAATAATAATACTATGTAATTTAACTTTGTTTCGTTTTTCTCAAGAAATATATTTGTTTTCATCTGTTAGTCCTTTAAATTTTTGTTTCTAAGTGGCTTTAGTAAGAGAACTTAGAGCCAGCGGCTGCCCTGACATGCGATTTTTTGTAGTGTAGGAGTAGGTTGGAAGAAAGCTAGGGGTAGCCAGACCAAAATATGGTAATAGTCCATGAAGTCACTGACAAGTGGACTAAGCCATGTTGGTAGGTGTAGACTATCTGGTTGGGGACCGCGAGAGGATAGCAACCGATGGTTAGAGACCCTGAATGACATGGCTCAAAATCGTTTTGCAATGGCGGAGGTGCATCCACTCTTTGTATTCTCCCAAATTCTAATCTTCTGAATTCTATGTGTCCCTTTTCCTTTTCTCTTTCCAAATTTATTTCACTTTATTATACTCCTTGAATAACATCTTCAAAGCCTAATCTTTCCGATTACTGCTTATACTTTTACTACCTCTACCACTATGGGATTTGAATCGACAACTGCATGTCTGTGCTAGTGTGGTATGGCAACTCGAACTGATGTACGTACGTACGAACGAAGTTCTACGTTGTTACTGACTGACTAAGTGGCTTTGCAACTCAATTATTTTAATTAAATTTCACTGAAATAGTCAACTAAATAACCACATTCAAAATGGTTTACTAACGAGAATCTTTTGTCATGATTTCATCTATTTTATCATTGTTATTATTTGTTTCAATGTAGTTCTCAATAGTTTCCTAAACGCTAGATAATTTGAATATAACACAACTTTAGTACCCAAGTGCAGATTTATATGCTCAGTATTGAGTTACTTTTTTATATGTGAATGTTAGTGATTCTACAGTTTAAAAAACGGAATTCTGTGCCACAGGGTTTGAACTCGAAACGTTGTTGTTGAAGCATACATACTCCATCCAGTGAATGGAACTACTCAGAGATGTAAGTAAAATTATCAGAAAGCTTGCGTGGAATGAATCTATAACCAATCATAATCTTCTTCTTCATAGTGTATACCGACATGGAACTAGACAGATTACTGTGATTAATTGACTAATAGTGGTAGTAGTTAGATTATATGTTTTATGGGAGCCCCTAGTTATCGGTTTCAATTGAAACTTTTGTTTAATTGTTGAGAACTTTATTTTACAGAACTAAGTGTGTAAAGTGTTCAAACAATTTTCATCATATTAAAAAAATAGATATAGATGGATGAATAATATTCTGTTTAATAAATTCGATTTGGGTTCATAGTTACAATGTAAATTAGTAATTTAAAAGAATGGTCAAGTGTCAGTATGTATTGTTGTAGAAATTGTTGAATTTCATTGACAATTACCATGTGCTCAATCGTGACTAGCTTTAATAGGAAATTTCTCGAGTTCTAGTGAAAATCCGTGACCAGTAAAGCTAAACCGTATCGCGTATGAGGCAGTTATCCATCGAAGACAAAGGAAGATGGTCACACAATGTCGTGGATTGGTTGAAGTTATTACACTATTGGCTACCGACTTGATCTATAATTCGGGTGTTTGAGCGCGAGACTGGTGGTTCTGGGTTCAATTCCTGTGTGCAGGGTCATAATTGCACCCTCCTGAAGAGTATCATACTAGCACGAAATAGCTGTCCAGTATTTCCAGGTTTTCGATTTTTGTACAGCTTATATCGGTTCGTGATTTTAAAGAATGATTAAGTTTAACACATTTGTGTATTTTACAATCACCGCCTATTAATTATGGATCGCTTGTAAAATAAAATCAGTGGTGTCAAAATGACAAGGGTGTACTGTTAACTTGAGATTGATAGTTGGAATAAATGTAAGTGAATAAAGTTAACAGAAATATTTATGTAATTACAGGTGAAATGTTTGGCCGAAGACTATATCATGTTTCCCGAACGTTGCTGCTACCTTTACGTGCTGGTCAGGCTTGCCTATCGTGATGAACCAGTCGAGCTATACTGTCTGGAATAATCCTTCCCCAAGGTCTTATTGTGCCAAGCAGGTCTGTTGAAGAGCGATAAGACTAAAAGCAGCAAACCCAATGTCCGAGGGCGAAGTCGTACTGCTCATTGTACAGAGATGTGACGGCAGTAAAGTGTTTCCTTCAGACAACCAGCATAGCAGCGATGCTGCCTTTCCACAAGGAAGGGTGAGGTTGGAAAGGGTCGACCCTAAAAATACACACCTCACCTTATCCCACGGATTTCCTTTCCGGCGGTGAGGTCCTAACAATTACGGAGCTAACACAAGAAGGTCGTATGCGGCCGACGTCAAGCAGTTGTCCCTTGTTTGATATGAATTTAGTAGGATAACATGAGCACTAATCCAGTTATTCATATGTTTATAATACCAATTTTTTATTGAGATCATAAACTTATTGATGCTGGACCACTATTGAATGCCTGGAAGCACTAGACAGCCGTTTCATCTTAATAATCTCCACAACCCTATACTGATAATTACCATGTGCTCACTAGTGACTAGCTTCGTGAGAGAATTCTCGGAGTTCTAGTGAGAGACCGTAACCGGTGGAGTTAATCCGTGTCGGGCAGAGACAGGTATCTACCTCATTACAGTGGAAGATGGTCGTGCGATTTCGTGGGTTGGTTGAAGTTAGACATTAACACCGTCGGATGCCGATTCAGTGGTCTGGAGATCAGGCGTTCGTGCGCGAGATTGAAGGCATTGTGTCTAAATCCCGCGGGTGGGATCGTGGATGCGCACTGCTGAGGAGTCCCACAATAGGACAAGACGGCCGTCCAGTTCTTCCAGGCTTTCAATGGTAGTCGAACACTAATCGGTTCATGGTCTCAATCAAAAACTAAATAATTACAAACCTGTTCTAGAACTTTCAGTTTTGTGAGCAAACGCTAAACCTCTACCCGTAAACCATCATCTGACGATGTTAATTTCTAACTTCAACCAGTTGTATAGATGTGAACGTGGAAAAATAAATGATTGACAGTGAGAAATATTTCAGTCATCACAAATTGTAACAGGCTAATACGTTACTCATGAACACACTGATTCCTTGGTTGTTTGTAGTGGCCCTGCTAGAAATAACTAAAAATGATATTCACTCGTTTTCCTTTAGATGAGGCTAAATTGTAAAGGAAAAGACTTTTTTACATTAAACCACCTAGACCAACTGGATATAATAAATAACTCGTAAGTTGTGAGCTAAAGAATTGTTGTTTAAAAAAAGGGATACATTCTGTCGTTGACGTTTAAAGTAACGAAGCTGTACAGGGTTCAGTCTTTGGTAGGTTTACATCTAGGTTTAAGGTTTATTGTAGGCTAGAGGAATGTGAGAAAGTCTGTGTTTGTGAGAGCGAGAATCTTCAGAAGTGAAGTAAACCAATGACTGGTAAAGTATTGTGTTATGTCAGATGAAAAAACATATTGTTTACTTAGGTTATTTTGTCCTGTGTACTCGAGCAGTACGACCTCTCCCTCTCAAAAGGGTTATTGACTAGTTCACCTGAATTTCCAGTAGGACTGGTGATCCATTTACTAAGTGACACACCAACCAACTAATATAAATAAAACATTAAAGCTTATATGTCATCAAGCTCCTAACCCAGTGGTTAATCAGAAGACGAGGACAGAAAGTAGATCAGTTTTCTATTACACTCAATTTAATCATGATCAAAGCTCAGATAATAATACACTTTGAATGTCTAAATGCTCAGTAACATAATAATTACAGCGTGTCGATAGATCAGTCATAAGTGGTACATGACCAAGATGATAGGCGAATAATTAATTAATGAAAAATCTGGAATAATAATATATATGGTGGCGATTTATTGATCAAATGAAAGCTTAGAAATATGATAATATGAAAGTATAGATAATAATCCTTTGTATGATAGTCTCGAAGTTAAGTTGCCACACTATTCGCCCTATTGTATCATACATCCAGTTCTCGTAGAATACACGTGAGACGCAAATTTAAAATAATTATATATGACTGTAGTGGCTGAACAATTGAGAAGATTATCTTGTAGTAAACGAGAGCTCAGATAGGGAAAACCAATTTACTTATTCAATACCAAATTACAAAGTTCTTTCATAAAACGTGAAAGACCTTACATTAAATACTGCATTTGTAAATCTTCCATCAATGATCTCAAACTCCATTGTCTCTTCATTCCAGTTGTCATTACTTTTATTCTCTATTTACATTCCTTTTCTCTTCAATTTGATCTTCTTAACCTTCTGCTATCTGTATTCCACTTCTGAGTGATGTTACATACTAATTATATCTAACAACATAAGCAGCATACACCACAACCTCGTAAGTTTGTATATAAAAACATTTTGCATTCTAAAATCACGGCAAATAATAACATTAAATGCTGGTATTCCTGAAGTGAGAAGTGGTCGAACCAACTAATATCCTTCATCTTTTGTTTTATTCATTTATGAATTACTAACACATACAGCATAGTTTGATCTGTGA